TTTGTCGTTTGAGATTTCATAGGTGGACTTCAATAAGGGGTTATAATTATTTGCTAGACGAAAAACTTCTGTATTTTCATCAGATATTCCGTCATATATTATGAATCCATCGTCCCTATATTTTTAACCTATAATATGAAATTAAACGGACCTAGAAAAATCCTATTGCACAAGTTGGCTTATCTATTTATATCTATATTTATGTTTATAAATCGCTTATATGACCGTCGGCAGTCTTCAAAGGTCAACTCGATAGTTAATTTGATGGCGTCTAGACTAAAAACACACGAAACGATGAAACATATTATCGAGCCCATGCCTTGTAATTTTTTTATTTTAGACTTTTTATAATTTGGATATACGTTTTAGTATGTTATAAATCAATTTGAGAATTTGACAGCCATTGCCCCTTTAAATGAATCTAATTGGCAGTAATGTTGAGTATTTAGTTGTCTTGTGACTTCTGTTATGTAGTCTAGTCTGTCTGAAAAAAACACAATCTGATTTTTTATCTGCGTTTTTTATTACTATTGTTTCATAATTTTTCAAATTGCGTAGTGCTATTCTTTCGTCCTTAGTAAGATTGTTTTTTTTTTTACATTTTTTTCTATTGGTAGAAAAGATAATTCAAGCTTTGTTAAATCGATATAATTGTCTAATGTATGGCACGTAGAAGCAGGTTTATTTTCTGTATTGCTACGAAATGGATGAAGGTCATTTTTTCTTCATGACTGAAAATATATCGGCATCGCAGTTGTTAAGCAAATTCATTGTAGTCTTTTAGTATAGACATATTTGCATTTTTGCTTGATGGCGTTGGAATAAATTTCAAGCCTTTCGCCAACAGGATATATTCCTGATTTGAAAATTTGCGTTTTAATAGATTAACTATACATGCTTTTTTTCATGTGCTGCTCTTTTCTGCATATTATATTCATTCCGTTCTTATTTATTGTAGAATCAGATTTTTGCTTTTTATCATTTCTATTAAAACGACGTGCCATCTTTGAGTTCACATTGGGTGATTCTCTTAGCTACATGCCTTTGTTGAGCTCACATTTGGAGGCTCACGCTTATCGCTACAGTAACTTTTTATTTATCCACTGACGTTACAAATGCTTAATTATATATTGGTTATTCCAGAGACATGAAGATTAAAATTTAAAGGTCTCTGGGTAATTCTGAATGATTAACTTTTCTCTGTGAAAAAACCCACATCCCTGACATCCTTACTACAAAGCATACAACATGTATTTACAAATGCTGTATACAAAAATGGGTTTGGGAATGAATTAATGATTTTATGGGATATTTCAAAATAGTTTTAGGGATACGGGATATTTGTAAAAAAAAATTATTGGGATATTAGGGGTAAACATTATAGGGATATGGGATATTGGGACAAAAACTTAATGGGATATGGGATATTGATACCCCCCTAAATAAGCCTCAAAGGTACACAGGATCATAGGAACAAACTGATCTTTGGAGTAGGGAGATATTATCGATTACGCTGACGTATGGTAAAGGTTATTGCCTAAATTGAAGGCATTGAAACCTTTGTTGGTCAAGTAAAGATCTAGAAAGGATAGTTTCTCTCATTACATCTTTTCCAACGCCAACCAGTCTGAAAAATCTGTGAGTGAGGTCAATATCAGACCTGCCAAATAACTAATCAAAACCTTTATGGATTCTGTTCAATTTTGATGAAATCAAACAAATTTTAATTTTGGACCTTTTGGACATCAATGTGGAACAATTAAAATAAAAGAACAGAGTTCCAATGTCCACGCATTGCACATATTTTATAGACTCGTTCTGGTATGGAACCTTATGGTACAACTTCATAGAAATCCATAGACTTATACTCAAGTTATTGTCCGGAAACCAGAAAATCCGTCTTTTTTGCCCTGTAATCCTAAACGGTTTGGGCCATAACCTTCAAAATCCATCCCAACATTCATTTTGAGAAATGGAACCTTGTGGTACAATTTCATAGAGATCCATACACATATACACAAGTTATTGTCCTGAAACAAGAAAAATGATTGTTTTTGGCCCCTTTTTCCTAAACGGTTCGGACATTAACCCCCAAAATCAATCCCAACCTTCCTTTTGTGGTATGGAACTTTGTGGTACAATTCCATAGAGATCAATACACTTGTCTTGAAACCTAATGTTTTCGGACAATGATGACAACAACGACATCATAACATTATACGAACGCTGTCGTATGAAAAACAGCAGAGGTAGTTAAATGTAAATGCAACAGCAGCCCAACAAAAATGAACCTAGACATCTAAAGGGCAAACTACAGACTTCGCCAATAAACAAGAGTCAATACAACATGTCTAGCTTTCTCTCTACTAATCATCCTGAATAAAGAAAAGCGGTGAGTAAATTAAACAGAAGCAACCAAAGACCTACCATTGACACCAAACTCTCCAAATAACAAAATAACATTAAGATATGACATAAGACAACTACCAACAAGGTTTCTGACTTGACTCTATTTTTATATAATAAGTACAGAATAGAGATTTCTAAGAGGCATCTTCACATACTATATGAAGAAATGCCAATAGTTACTTTCTGTATGTATATCTATTGGTACAAGTTTTCTGTAATTTCAAATCTTCATTGTTGCAAGTCAGTCTGTCCTTCATATTTTGGTTTTTAAAATATAGGATCCAGTATTAACCAAACTACCATCTCCACCTGTCTTACTTTCAATTACTAACTAATCTTTCAGTGCTTTTAACTAGTTCTGTAAATACTATCAAAGAACTTATCATTTACTTTTGTAATAAAGCATATGCAAATAGTGGAATAAACTATTTTTGGAGTATAAAAAATTCTTTGTATGTTTTAGATAAATCAAGTACTTTTAATGGTCCTTTGAATTGTTGACATTTTTTAGTTTTCAACTCTTTACACTACACTTCCACACAATCTTTTCAAACAAAAAGTTTTACTATTAAATTATTGCAAAGACAATCAAACCTTTCCCAGAATCAGTTGTTTACTTATCCATTTAAATTTTTGCAAAGTGCACTGCCCCATTGATTAAATACAATATCTATTGTTCTCTGTGAAGTTCATTCAATGGAAACTATAAATTTCTCCTTGAAAAAACAATGGACTGTGATATTCCTTTGGCACCATCTTATGCTGTTTGTATATCCCAACCTATGCCTGTGTCTGGAGTGACATTTTGGATTTCAATGAACGTAATATATGTATTACTTATTAATATTTATATACATAAATTATTATGACTAGGATTTCATTACCACAAATTACTTAAAACCTTTAATTAATTCTTTCATAGATGAAAATATTTGGTTTTGAAGTTTGGCTGTATCTGCAGAAAACTTAATACAAATTACAAACAGAATAGCACATCCTAATTTTTTACGGTGTTGTTGTTTACCAAGCCTGTATATTTTGATACAATCCAGGTAAACCTAGTCATCCTTTAAACAAACTTACTCTAAAAGGTTACCAATTCAACACTGTAATGCTCTTTGAAAATTGTTTTCCTCTGTATAAATCAATAAATTAAAACCCAACTAAATATTATTATTACATTCAAGGTCCTACCATTTCTCAATACCTACATTTTGGCATTGCACAAGGCCATGTTTTTCTATGACTGTTAATGACATCTTTACACTAAAACCATTGGATGTTGGATGTGTACTGATTGATATTTTTGGCTTTGAACTAACTTTCAGCAACTGTGAGTACTCTCAGATCTGTACTTTGTGTCTTTTGTGTGCTTTGTATTGATTTGATGAGTTAAGCCTTTACAACCCTTTGAACACTCGGTCTGCCTTTGAGGACTGTGCTGTGTGAAACAATGCTTTAAACACCGTCTTGGACAGTAAAAAAAAAAAAAAAAAAAACAGAATACCACTTGTTCAGAAATTCTGTTGGAAAGCATCGAGGAAATTTGTATTTTGATGAATACTGAAATTTGCTGTGAACATTACCCTAGAAATCCTTCAAAATTATTCATGGATGGATGCTCACGATCCAGCAGCAAATATTACATGCATATTTGTACAAGACCCACACACTGAGCCAGATTTTTTTTAATGTGCTAGCTCACAGGGTAGTAGCCAGTAGAATTGCATGAGTCCACTAGTCTTTGCTCGAACTCCTAAATGCAGCATGCTTGGTGGAGAAGCAGCAAATACCATTTAAGAAAAAGTTTTTTGTTTGATCTTTGAACCTCCATTTTATGTGTATCACATGCTAGTTAGAGAGCTACCATTTGATTTTTATGGGGGGCTAGGATGAAATTTGAAAAAAAGGCAGGACAGGAGTTTTGAGTAAAAAAAAAGGCAGGATGAGCAACTTGGCAAAAAAAAAAGCCAGGATGACAATTTATGTAAAAAAAAGTCAGGATAAACTAATAAAAAAAAAGGCAGGACCGAATAGAGTGAAAAATAAAAAGGCAAGACAGAGATTACAGCTAAAAAAAAAATGAAGGACAAAATTTTTCTTCCTAGCCCCCCCCCCCCCCCCCCCCCCATTAAAAATCAAATGGTAGCTCCCTTAGATCACTTTCTTTGTTTTATAGTGTTTTATTTTTACATTTAATGGTGTCTGGATGAGGGGGGAGGGGCTGTCTTCATTATTGTACTCTTTAATTATTGAAGTTGTTGTTTTCTATTCTCAAAATGATTGTGCCCATTTTTCTACTTTCTTTTTGTTTTAGTACCCCATTATTTTCCCTCCCATTTTCTCTAATCTTTTTTCCACTATTCTCATTTCTGTAACCCCCATCCAGACACTCTTTAGTGACCATGTATTCATTTTCAAGCAAGATCGTAACAAGGTGGATTCTTTGATGTAAGTTTCCCAAAATGGTCTAATAATGATTGGAATGGATTTTCCAATATTTATCTATAAATTGGATATAACCCTGAACAGACAATGTCTCCACTGATTAATTATCATTCATAGAAATAAATGTAAATAAACAAATATCATATCATTTTGATCTGAGGCCACACAAAATCAACTTTTAGTTCCTTGAAATCACTAGCAAAATGTTTGGGAGAAGAAGTTTTCTATAGAAAAAAATAATTTAACAGCAAAAAAAAAAAAAAAATAAGCACATATTTTATATATTAAACAATAATTACCTTCACCAACATTATAATATTTTTGAGATATTTTTTCTTCTAAATGCTGAATCCCTCATCAAATTTTCCACTTGTTTCTTTTAAAACAGTTTTCAGAAAACGTATTACTTGCTTGCACCTTTTTTTGGGTCTCTTTTATAAACAAAAGAACTAAAACTTAAATTGGTGTGGCCTGCATATTTTATTTCTTTTTCTATTTTCCCTGAAGTAAAGAATTAATCCTTGTATCAGACACACAGTGACATAGCTGCAGCACCAAGTCTACTTTTAACTTATTTATACTACAATGAATATGTTTGTTTACATCTTTAAATGGTCCTAAAGATGTCAGGTCTTCTTTTAATACTAATGTCAAATGACTATATAAACAATCAAGTAGTGTTGACCATTTCTCTGAATGGCCTGATGTTATTGGTTCTAAACTGAATGTTTGACCAACTGGAAATTTGTCCATTAACTCTGCCTGTAGGTGAAGTAATTTCTCTTTATTAAAAATCCTAGAGAAGCTGGTTGAGTCCATACCTAAATTCTCTCCCTTTTGTTCATTGATTATGGTAGAGTTATCTCCCTTGATGTTCACTACTTTTTGGATTTCTGACAAATTCTTTTTAATTCCTGCCATGGATGATGTATTGCATGACAGAATAATTTGTAAAAGATATTTCATCACAATGTTCACAAACTGTATATCTTCTCTCCATGTATTCATCTCATTTTTGTCGAACAGTCGTCCACCAACACCCTTAAAAATATTGAAAAATACAAACTTTTAAATTAAAGTTCAATATTTTATTTATTGCAACCTTTAACAAAATACTTATAGAAACTTCAATTATATAAAGTCAAAATTATTTTGATTTAAAATGAAATTTTCACCTTATACAGTTGATATTAAAATGAAAATGAATTCTCACTTCAAGTATGTTGTATAAATGAGAATGTTATTATCATTTCTTAGAGTTCAAATTCATTTTAGTCATACATGTAATGATTAATCACAGATACAGTCATATCTATAAAATCAGTTTTCCCTGACAAATAAGGCACTTAGAAATATATGTCTGTTTAGAGTTATTTTCACCAATCATTAGATGTTTAGGCCAAATACTACATATAGTATGTAAGATATTTTTAAACAAAGTACCTACGTACATTACTCATGACCAATGTAACCAAGCCTAAACAGATATTCATTAATTTCTTCCAAGCCAAAGCAAGAGGATGATTTTCAAGCACTTCTCTACTTTAAATGGGAGTTATTCCTGATTTGTTTTATGCTATATAGATCATAAAAAATGGTGGAAATGATATCCTCAAATTCTCATGCCCAAAGGATACAAAGTGAAAATTTTTAGCCTTACATTTTTATGGGCGAGGAGAAAATGTTTGAAAGGAAAGTATAAATTTAAAATTTTTTAAAATAACTTTATAACTTAACCGTCCTCTTGAATACCCACTTATCTACTAAACATTAGATCAAGGTCTCTTCGCAAAGGAATTGCAAAGAATATTTAATTAATCAACCCAACACAAGATCGTAATATTTTTTGTGTGCGTTCTGATAAACATCATTAAGCAACGCTGACATTTATACATAATTACTCTGAAGATGGCACTTGTCACATTCAAAGTGTTTCCTGAGAGATAAACTTGTTGTGTGTCATCAGAAAACCCTGACCTTTGTATGTGATACTGTTTACATGATTTATAACATTGTAAGTGATGACTGATGAACTATATTATGATTTCTCAATATAAAAATTATGTCTGTTGCACACATGGGGCTCTAGTAGATACCCCCTTAAGTGACAAGGTCATGTTTAAAATTGCCTCAGGTCACCAGGTCATGTTTAAAAATTGCCTGATGTCACCAGGTCATGTTTAAAAATTGCCTGATGTCACCAGGACACTATAATGCAAACTGTACTTTCATAAAGGGATCTGATTCTCAGCTTTGAAAATTTATAAAGGTCACAGGTCCTTTAAAATGAGATGTCAGGTCTGAAGGTCGCTCAAAAAAATCCCCAAGATCATAGGTCAGATTTGACAATGTAGGAGTCACACATATACAAGAAGAATTCTTGCATTTCTGAGCTGTGAAAGCCAGTAGATGATTTGAATATTTCACAGTTTCAGAAATAAAGGTAACGTATAAATGAAAACAAGAGTGCACACACTGAAATGTCTCACCTTTTTTACTGACCATTGATTTTATGTTGAAAGTCTTATAGATACAGGTTTTACTAAAAGTATCACATAAACTTAACATTTTTAAAGATCTATGAGAATGAGGTCAAGGTCAGATAAATCCTGTCAGACAAGAAATATACACCTTACAACTTTTTAAAACACCAAATACAATTGACCTATTGCTTCTGGTAATTGAAAAACAGACCAAAACACAAAAACTTAACATTGACCAACGAACCATGAAAATGAGGTCAAGGTCAAACAAAACATTTCAGACTGACATGTACCCATTACAATCATTACATACACCATGTATAGTTGACCTACTGCTTATAGTATTTGAGAAACGGACCTAATCATGTAACTTTAACCTTGATCACTGATCCATGAAATGAGGTTGAGGTCAGTTGAACCCTGTCTGGCTGACATGTAGATGTTGCAAGGAACCCATATACCAAATATAGTTATCCTGTTACTCATAATAAGTGAAAAAATTCACATGACAAAAAACCCCTGTTACCAGTATGGTATTTTATTCTGAATTTTACCCAAATTAGTTTATTCAGGTTATAACTTAGGTAGAGTAAATGTCTAAACCTGGTTAAATTGCCTTGCTATAGTGCATTGTGATATTTTGCTCTAATCTGTCGAAATAAGAATACTGTAAATTCAGAAATTTTTGTGGACTTATTATTGCTATTGTTATTATTACAAATTCGAGATTTATTATTGCGATTTCAGGATATTCTGCACATAAATAATGCTATTAATTAAATTAAAAAAAACTAATCTTAATTTTTGTAACATCTTTCTCATCGCAATTTTCACAAATGATAAAAAAGTTGCAAACATTTCTGAATTTACAGTAGCAAATCATAGTCAACAATTCTTTCTTCTTAAAAAAATTAGAATTTTACAGCAATTTTCCCTTTTGAACAACATCAGAATAAAAGAAAAGTTGAATAGTAATGTTCATTTTGTTATCACAGAAAATGGCTACATTTTTGGTATATTTTCTTCAAAGTTTAATTGACATATGTTCATTAGTGAAGGAGCAATTACGAACACAAAGTGGAAATCAATGAATGAACAACAATTACTGGATGGGGGTTCTTCATTTCTTTAATATTTAGCTAATTTTTCTCCATTCTTCATTTATTTTGACCATTATTCTGTATTCCTTATATTTTAACACCCCATTATTATCTATAATTTTACCACTTCTTCTTTGGTATCAGTTTCCATCCATTTCAACATGGTTTTCAAACATAGCTTCCAGTGTCTGGTATAATGGTGATGTAACATTGATCCAACAGTCAAATCTAAGGCAAGGAATGGGTGAACAGTCACTGAAAAATACAAACAGTCAGATTTAAGGTATGAGATGGATGAACAATCACTGAAAATAAACAGTTAAATCTAATTGTGATGTACCACAATTCCAACAGTCAAATCTAAGAAAAGGAATGTGTGAACAGCCATTGAAAATACAGACAGACAAATCTAAGCCAAGGAATGGGTGAACAGTCACTGAAAATACAAACAGTCAGATTAAAGGTATGAGATAGGTGAACAGTCACAGAAAACAAACAGTTAAATCTAATTGTGATGTAACATGGTTCCAACAGTCAAATCTAAGATAAGGAATAGGTGAACAGTCACTGAAAATACAGTCAAATCTGAGGCAAGGAAAGGGTAAACAGTCACTGGAAATACACACAATTGTATACTATGGTAATTGGTTAACAATTATCCTAAAAACAAAACAAATCCAATCAAAGGCAATGAAAAATCAGTGGAAAGTAATTAAAAATAGAATAAGTCAGATCTAAGTCATAGAATAGGTAAACACCCAAAATATTAGTTGGAGATTGATCTGATTTCTGAAGACCATTTTAGGACATGTTGGGCCATGTTTTTCATACTGCATTCTCTGATTTCCCACAGCTCCAACAAGTCCTTAAAAAGGCCACCAGACTATCAGCCAACAAACATACATTCAGAAACAGGACAAGATTTTGGTGATTTCACTGAAAATACAAACCTTCTAGCTTTATACTTTGTTAAAAATTATATAGATCCACTAAAGCAAACCTAAGTTAGAAGACGTCCTATAAAGATTGTGTTGAATTTTGGAGAATTAAAAAGTCCCATAACTCTGAAACAACGCATCTTAAAATTGTTAAAACCAAAACAGAGATTGTTTTCATATGTGAAAATCTAATAAGAGATTTGCTTAAACAAATAAACAAACAGACAGCTGTAAAACAGACAAGGATAATAGAATACCATATTATGTTCTATCCTTGACAGGCATATACAAATTTGAGTGAGGTCACAGATACAATTTTCATGCTAAGTTTAGTTAGGTTTAGTTCCATCTAGCCTAACAGGGCCATTGTTTATGTTGTGATGGAAAAAAAACAGATTAACCGACATTCTGAACTTTCTAAGGTTTCATAAAAAATGGCTGAAAATCTTTTGATTACAAAATATCAGAAAAAGTCAGGTGATATATCCTATAGAATATTTGAGACAACTTAATTCAATCAAAAATTAATACAAAAGTTTTAATGATTTGTACTTTAGTACAGATAAGACAGTTTAATACCATCTTAAATCAAAATATATACTGTCTGATGTGCTGGCTATAAATTATAAGGTAATGTCTTATGCGTGTTACATAACTGTATTACAAATCAGTTTATAGCTAAAATCCAACAAGTAGCAAGTTTTTATTTAGACTTACAATGGGTGAAGGACACATACGAAAAAAAAGGAGAAATACATAAACAAATCTTTTGTTAGATGCAAACAGCTGCATAAAAGTACTAACAAACAGCTGCCTAAATGTACTAACAAACAGTTGCATAAAAGTATTAAAAATTTGCATTTGTGACAAAACATTTTTTGTAAGATATTTTTCATATCTAAACAGATGTCAGTCAGTAACAAAACTGAATTTATTTTTAATCAAACCTTGAAAATAGTAATACCTTTCCAAAATATAAAATCTTGAACATTGTAAATAAAACAACACACGTACGGTAAGATATATTTTATACCTAAAAAGATATCAGCTGGTAACACAACTGAATTTATTTTCCATTAAACCTTAAATATAGTTTATATCCCTTTCAAAAATATAAAATCTTGAACTTTATAAATAATACTAAATCACTAAAAATTGCCTGGGAAAATATTCAAATGCTATAAATTTTCCATGTAACCTTGTTGCTACTGTTCAGCATTTAAATCTGGTCTCACACAGTCTTTATGGGAGTGAATCAATGGCCCTTATTTCATATTTTAACCTAATTTCTTTTCGTGTCAAGAGGGGACTACTACAAAACACAATGGTGTGATAAATATATAATCAATTCTTGTCACTTGAATTAATTTAATGTATTATTGTGCATTGAACAACTATGAGCTTCTGATTTTTTAAGTCTTAGAGCCTTTATAACTCCATCATTCTCTTTGACATCAAAGTGTCCTTGAAAGAAAATAATCTGGTTTTCCATAAATTATCAATTGTCCTCAATAAAAAATGAATTTTGTTGGCAATTTCTAATGCTTAGAACCCTAATGTGGTTTTCTTCGAAGTAAAGCATAGTCTTTTGACATTTGAATTTCAATAAATGAAAAATATTTTGTTATCCTGGCTAGTAATCTTTGATTGTAAGACATATATGATGGAAATAAATCATTAAAATAGAAATTCTGACATGTAGATTGATAATAAGTGTAAGCATATTTGGCTAAAAAGATAGCTTGAAAATTGTTGGAGTGAGCAGCCCACAAAAAAATGCCAAATTAAAAAAATATGTTGAACTGACAAACTTAAACTGATAGTTGTTAAACATTATCCATCCTAAATTTTTGTTGCAGGGTTGTAATAAATTGTCTTTAAATGCTAATAATGACCTTGAACTTTAACCTCTGATGTCACATTGTCAGCGATCCATTAAATTGCAATATAGCCATCACCTATTCAATTTTGGCTGGTGCATTATCTCTAAGGTAAAAGCTCATTGCTGGAGTAAAACATTAACCTTGAACTTTAAACTTTGCCCTCATAAAGTTTTGGTATATCAAACAACTTTGACCTCCAATTCCTGGTTATAACATTTGGCTGTTTTAGATATGATCTTTGTAATCTAGTTGTGAAGTTCGTTTTTTTGTCGTTTGATAAATGCTTTTTTTGTAAAAAAATATTTGACTTGATTTCAAACTAAGATCTCATAACAAATGACTGTTAACTGACCTTGAACTTCAGGGTTCAATCTACTGACAATCTTTGCAGCCATATCTTTTACTTCTTCATCATCTTCTTGCAACAAACTTACCAGGATTTCCCAGAATGCAAAAGTTGTTTCACCTGTAAAAATAAAAAAGTCCATTGAGTCAAAACCTTTTTTCCCGATCTTCCTATGTAGAGAACATCAAACGGGTAATTATATATGAATTAAAGAAAATCTGTGTCAATAATTATGCAACCTTCCTTTTCATTCATACATTTTTATCATTGACCTCCCATGGGCAATATGGATTTTGATGACCAATCCTAATAAAATGCTCCGCTGGGCGCAGCTTGATACAACCGCAGAGGTCGAACCCTGAACAGTTGGGGCAAGTATGGACACAACATTCAAGCTTGATACAGCCCTGAATTTGGATTGTGATTAAATATTTGACTCAGCATAGGTTTCTGACACAGAATGAATGTGGTCTAAGAACTTAAATTTTTTTAATTTACCTATTCAAACCATATCATTATTATTTGCTTTTATATATAAATCAGAAATAACCAATTTAAAATGGAAAATTTAAAAAAAAAAAAAGAAAAAAAGGAAAAAAAAAAGGAAAAAAAGGAAAAAAAAATCCCTCCCCCAATTTTTTTTAACCCTCTTATGATTCATCATCCCAAACTCAATCCGAGCCTTCCCTTTGTGGTATGGTACCTTGCAGTACAATTTCAGAGAGATCCATACACTTGAACACAAGTTATTGTCTGGAAACTAGAAAAATGGTTGTTTTTAGGCCCCTGTTTGGCCCCAAATTCCTAAATGTTTAGGGCAATTACCCCCAAACTCAAACCCAGCTTTCCTTTTGTGATATGGAACCTTGTAGTACAATTTCATAAAGATTCATACATTTAAACACAAGTTATTGTCCTGAAACTAGAAAAATGCTTGTTTTTTGCCCCTTTTTGGCCCCTAATTCCTAAAATTTTGAGGCAATTACCCCAAAAATCAATCCCAGCCTTCCCTTTGTGGTATGGTACCCTGCAGTACAATTTCAGAGAGATCCATATACTTGAACACAAGTTATTGTCTGGAAACTAGAATAAACTGCTTCGCTAAGCGCAGCTAGATACCCCCGCAGAGGTCCAACCCTGAACAGTTGGGGCAAAAATGGACACATTATTCAAGCTTGATTCAGGTCTGAATTTGGATTGTAATTAAATACTTGACATATTATAGGTTTCTGAATAAATGTAGTCAAAGAATTTGAAATTGGTTATATGAATTGAATTTATATTCAATTAAAGATTTCTTGCTGTTGTGCAATACTATAAAAGCAGAAATTTTCGTGGAGGATTTAATTTCGTTTATTTCGTGGAAAGAATATATCCACGAAATTAAAACCCCCACGAAAATTTAACCTACATATAATATCACTTTCATTTAATGGAAACCACGAAATTAAATCCCCATAAAATTTTATATAGAGACAAAACAACGAAATTTTAACCCCACGAAAATTAATGTTTTTACAGTACTTAGTAAATCTGTTGTCAGACTATAAACAAATAAAGTTCAATTAATTCTCAATGTCATATTAGAAATTTTTGAAAATAAAAAGGGAGCTTACATCAATAGATATAAACAATTCACCAAAGTTTCATGAGAATTGGTGACAGCATTTTTGAGTTATTGTCCGAAAACTGGAAAATCACCCCTTTTTTTAATGAATAAAACCCCATAACTCAGAAATGTAGGATGTAAAATTTATAAAATTCTAAAGGGAGCTTACATCAACACATACAAACAATTCACCAAAGTTTCATAAGAATTGCTGAAAGCATTTTTGAGTTTTTGTCTGAAAACTGGAAAATCCCCCCATTTTTTATGAATAAAACCCTGTAACTTGGAAACGTAAAATCTAAAATTTATAAAAATTGAAAGGGAGCTCATGTCAATAGATATAAACAATTCACCACAATTTCTTGCAAGTTGGTGAAAGCATTCTTGACTTATTGTCCGAAAACGGGAAAATCCCCCTTTTTTTAATGAATAAAACCCCATAACTCGGAAACTTAAAATCTAAATTTTATTAAAAACGAAAGGGAGCTCACGTCAATAGAAATAAACAATTCACCAAAGTTTTATGCAAATTGGTAAAAGCATTTTTGAGTTAATGTCCGACATGTTGACGACGGACGGACAGACGGACGGACTGACAGACGGACAACGGTATACCATAATACGTCCCGTAAACGGGCGTATAAAAATGCTTGTTTTTAGTGGCCCCAAATTCCTAAATGTGTAGGGCAATCACCCCCAAACTCAAACCCAGCTTTCCCTTTGTGATATGAAACCTTGTAGTACAATTTCAGAAAGATCCATACACTTACACACAAGTTATTGTCATGAAACTAGAAAAATGCTTGTTTTTTGCCCCTTTTTTGGCCCCTAATTCCTAAAATTTTGAGGCAATTACCCCAAAAATCAATCCCAGCATTCCCTTTGTGATATGGAACCTTGTGGTACAATGTCCGAGAGATCCATACTCTAACACACAAGTTATGTCAGGAAGTTACAAAAATGCTTATTTTTGGCCCCTTTTTCCTTAACTGTTGGTACCATAACCCCCAAAATCAATCCCAACCTTCCTTTTGTAGTATTGAACCTTATGGTAAAATTTCATAGAGATCCTTTTACTTAAACTAAAGTTAGAGTGCAAAAACCAATGTGTCTTCGGACGACGACGACGATGACGCCAACGTCATACCAATATACGACCGCGAATATAAAAATAGAAACTTTTCCAAAGCAAGGAAGTCATGGGAAGTGATGCAACAAAAGAGATAAAACAGCCAGAAAGTATGGATACCATATGACCATCAAACCTTATAAGAGGGTAAAGTTAAATTAGTTGAAAATTACAACCAACAGATGGACAAAGGTATAATCAGAACATATCCTATCCTTGACTAGCTTATAAAATGTTCGGCTATGAGCATTCCCAATGAATAACTTCAGAAAAGCGCTTCGGACGCATGAAATTTATAAAAGTTTTGTTTTCATTTTATATAAACAAGAGTGCATACTCTGAAATGTCTTGTGTCCCCAGTCTGACATACATGTAGACCTTGCAAGGATCCCATGCATACACCAATTATAATTATCCTACTACTCAATTTAGATGAGAAATTCAGAAAACAAAATGGACATTACAGATGGAAACATCATATAACATAAGGCATCTATATACAAGGTATGAAGCATCCAGGTCTTCTACCAATAGTTTACCCACTGCATGCTGACACTATGTCTCTCATTCAGTGAATTTCATCACAGTTGGGAAAAATTGGAGAATAGAAATGTTATTTGTAGACCTTTGTTTGTCTTTGATACACTTAGGGAGTTACCATTTGATTTTTATGGGGGAATTAGGATGAAAGATTTTGTCCTGCATTTTTTTTAGTTAAAATTTTTATTAGGTTATCCTGACTTTTTTTACATAAATTGTCATCCTGCCTTTTTTTTTGCCAAGTTGCTCATCCTGCCTTTTTTTTTACTCAAAATTCCTGTCCTGCCTTTTTTTTCAAATTTCATCCTAGCCCCCCCCCCCCCCCCCCCCCCCCCATACAAATCAAATGGTAGCTCCCTTAAAAGTCGTCAGAACTTTCATTGCTTTTTGAAAAAGTAGTCTCAGTATATAAAATAAGGCAGCAATTTTCCAGTTAATAATATTTATACAAAGGCGATCAGTTCAGACAGGTCTAAAGATATGCAAGTATGCATGCAACTGTACGACATATAAATCTAGACATATAATTTTTATGTTTCAATATCAATAGCAAAAACCATCTACAATATCTAAGGTCACAATTAAAGCCATGAGCAAGCATAAATTGTCTCACTTTTGCAGCATAGTGCAATAGAATCAATGCAGTTATTTTCAGATAGATTTGTTTCACATAGATAATCTTGTGTCAGATATGATATACAATGGATTGAGTTTTACAACAGATGTGAATCTTTAACAATCACTGAGGGTCACTAGGTGCAGTTTGTCAGTGATCAAACAGGTTGTAGTATGTATGATAAATTATCATGATTATGTTCTGTACTTAAATTGCCTGAAGAGGGTGGAAAAGGTTGAAAAAATGATGTAAAAATGAAGAAAATATCCAACTTATCCAAGGGGATAAATTACGCTCTGTTCTTAAATTGTCTGAAGAGGGTGGAAAAGGTTGAAAAGTTGACGTAAAAAAGTAAAGAATGTACCATTGGGGTAATCTAAAATCATAAGATGTATATAAACAACACACTTCACCGATAAAAGGGGCTGAAATCAGGTGCTCCTAATATTTTCTGACAATTTTCATACTCTCCCTTTTACGTTTAAAATGCAGGTCCCAAATATGATCCATGCATCTTTTTTTTTTAATCCCAGTCTCTTCTTTTTTTAATTCATTCAGGTGCTTTTATTTCTTATTCATTTCCTTCTTAAATAAAAATGTCTTTTCAATGATGGTGAATCCAGGAACCTTTGACAAGGGTTGGGAGAGTCAAGCATTAACTTATTGTAAAAATACTATGAAGGAATGTTAAACGTATAAGTAATGAAGTCACCAGTGTTTCAAATTGACAAATTATTTTCCCCATGCTTGCATGTAGAAAGCTAATTAAAACTAATTTTGTCATGACTTTTATAACTTACTATATGATATGGGTTTTGCTCATTGTTGAGGGCCTATAGTTGCTTACATACACATCCTTTTTTTATTAATATATTATATAATGTCAATATCTCAAACTAGTACCGGTACACAGCAAAGGCAATTGCCAATGAATTTTAGTTTGCTTAAAGGACATGCCAAAATTTGTCAATTTTCTACATCAAATTTTAGATAAATCTCTTTTTTTTATCAGCAATTCTTTTTTTTCCAAAATGAGCCTAATTTGAAATGAATATGGTTTCCAACAAGACAAAATAAAGTCATGCAAAGTATACTAGTACCCCAATAGTAGATGTTGATAAAAATTCTGTGTTCATTGGGAATAATGCAAATTCAAATTACCAGTTTTATTGTCAAACAGAATTTAAGTGACTGTCTGGCATGTCTGGAATGGCTAGCACATTACA